AAAAACTACTGCAGCCATTTCCTTCCGTTTATCAGGAAGGCTCCGCCTTTCGCAGCCACAGCCGCGGGGTGTCGGCACCGCCCGCTGCCGGCGGAGGGGGCGGCTCCGCCCTCCTTCCCGGCCGAGCGCTGGTCAGCGCGTCACGGCCCGCGCCGCCCGGGCCCGCAGCTGCGCCCGCACGGGGTGTGCCTCAGCCCCCGGCCCGCCGCGGAGCCCCCGCCCGCCGCGGAGCCCCCGCCCGCCGCGGAGCCCCCGCCCGCCGCGGAGCCCCCGCCCGCCGCGGAGCCCCGGCCCGCCGCGGAGCCCCGGCCCGCCGCGGAGCCCCTGGCCCGCCGCGGAGCCCCCGCCGGTCGCGGAGCCATGTCGCGGCCCAGGCACGTCCCGCCCAGGCAGCCCGGCAGGGGCGCGGGGGGCTCGGGCAGCGCTGCCGCGGCGTCCCGTGTCCGGGGCGGCAAAGGTCTCAGGGATGTCCGCGTGGACGAGGAGGTGGAGATCGCGGTGAACCTCGCCCTGGAGCGGTTCCGCTACGGCGAGGACACAGGTGCGTGCGGCGGCCCCGGGGAGCGGCGAGGCCGGAGCGGGGCCGGCGGACACCGTGGCCCGCGGGCGGCCAGGCCTGCCCCGAGCGGGGCCGGCGGCGCCACCAGGAGCCCTGAGCGGGGAAGGGGAGCAGCCAGTCCCGATGTCGCCAGTGCTAGCGTGCTCGGGAAGCGCGGTGGGTTCGGGGATTGATAAACCCTCATAGGATCGAGGTAATACGTCTAGAATACGGCCTCCTGTGTTGTTACCTTTTTTTATTATTTATTTTTATTTCTAGAAATGGAATTTCCCTCTTCTTTCACTAGTACTGAAAGAGCATTTGTTCACCGGCTCTGTCAGTCTCTTGGACTGATATCTAAAAGTAAAGGGTAAGTTGGACTCTGATTTTTATGTATTATATTCTCTTTTTGGTGCGAATTTATGGAATTTCGTTACTAGCATGAAAACGACGTACTTCTAGGATATCTTGAGCTGTTGCAGGGAATAATACTAGAGAAAAAAAACTTTAAAAGGTAGATAATAAAAATTAGCACCTGATGTCTGCTTAAAAAAAAAGATGTGACATACTCTTTTGAGATAGCTGGCTCCTGTGGATTTCATGTCCATAAAAAAGAGTTCTCTCCAGGTTGTGTTCTGCCTTTTTCTTCTTTTTCCATACACTCCTCTGTGATCAAAGGTTTTGGATAGAGTCTCCCACTTCGACAGATAAAATGTACCTTTGAGCAGCAGGTCCAAAAGAGTGCCTCTGTTGGGAAGTGCAGGAGAAGAGGGTTGTTGTGTTGCCAGCAGGTGGAGGGAGGTCATCCTTGCCCACTACTTAGCACTGATTAGGGTGCACCTAGAGTACTGCATCCAGTGCTAGGATCACCAGTAGGACAGAGACCTAAACTGAGGAGAGTTCCATGAAGGACCAACAACATGATGAAAGGACTGGAGTATCTCCCATTTTAGGAAAGGGTGAGATGGACTGTTCAGCCTGGAGAAGACAAGGCTCAGGGTGATCTCGTCACTGTACATAAGTGCTTGAAGTGAGGATGTAAAGAGAACAGAACCTGGGTTTGCCAGAGTGGCTGCACCTCTCCTCACAGAGGCTGCCTAGGCCAGCGTCTGGGTACCTGCACCACTGCCAGGAATGAGGCACTCGGCTCTTAGTGTGACCTTCTGTTCTTACCCTGAGAAGTCATTTTCAAAGGGTTATTATGTAGCCCAGGCACAAGAAGGTTCCGTTTCAAATGTGTTTACAACTCTTTACGTTTCTGTGTCCGAGTTCCGTTTGAGGACAAATGCAGTGTTACAAGTGTTTTGGTTCTGTTTCTACATAGAAAATTTTTAATAGTGAACATCATAGGAATGTAATTTGTTTTACTGCATTTTGTTAAGGCTTGGAATGTCACTAGCAGGCAGCTTGTTTGTCTCTTTTGCCAATTTGTTGATTTTTAATCTCTAGATCTCTTAAGTTAGTCTAGAAATCAATTTTGTGTAGTAAATCTCAGTATTAATTTATAGAGCTGGCTGTATTTTGGGAGGCAGATGCAGTAATGGACCTTTAACCAAAGACATCAGAAGAGTGTCACATTACAGAGGCCTGTATGTAAGGTTGTGCTGAGCATAGTGATCTGAAGTCTGCAGTGTCTGTGCTGCACTGCCTCATGTGAATAGAGAGTGCCTTTGGTAGTGGATATTGTGGATGTTGCTATTACTTTGGTGTGCATTATGCTACTTAGGGCGTATTTTGAAGTTTCTAGTTATGACATTATGTTTGAAAATAATTTGACAGCCATCTTGAAAAAGTTACGAGCGAAGATTGTTACATTCAGGTAACTAGTGTGCTTGTTCCTAAAATGCCTTTTTTTTTTTTCCTCCCCAGAAAAGGGACAAATCGATACCTAACTGTAAGGAAAAAGCATGGATCAGAACTAAAACATACAGTAATGACTTGTGCCTTGACTCCTGTTACAAAACATGCTGTTTGTACTTTAATTCGAAATTTTCCTGTCACGAATAAAGAAAGAACAGAACTTCTGCCAAAGACGGAGCGAGGAAATGCATGTGCTGTTGAATCTGGTATGTTCAGTATGTCTTCTGATACGGAATTGTCAATCAACACTACTTGACAAAATAACACGCAACCCAACCACAAAACAAACCCCTCTATATTGTGTTTGCTCTCCTGTCCTACCTAACACCCTTCCCTGCAAACAAACCCATTAATTTTCTTGACTTTTAATTGTAGGGTCTTTTAAAACTGGTGTCATGAGGAGCTCAGGCAGTCATGTCACTCACATTGCAATGTCTCCCTTGTGTCAAGTTAGTTTTGAATCTTTGAGCCAGTTCGAGACAAATTTTTTAGAAGTACGTTTGTGAAATGTGGGTTCCTGCACATTCCATGAGGTGAGATTGAAAAAACAAGTGTTAATGTGACTGTCTATAAGAACATCTTTATGAGAAGATGAGACTGGCTTTTCTGCCTTTTGAAATCTATGTTCTTGATAAAATAAGAAATTTGTGTTTTGTCGTTTTCTAAAATAGATTTGGTCTCTTAGAGGCTATTACCTAAACTTCTTGATTTCTAGAGTATGTAAGAGTTCGCTGGATGTAACTTATAATACTGGGGGTTTTAAACAATGCTTTTAATAAAAGCATTTTAACATTGTAAGAGCTATGTTGCGTTTCTTTAACATTGTAAGAGCTATGTTGCGTTTCTGCACACAATGTTGAGTGTAGTGAACAGAAAACATACCAGTATGCCTTGTTTCATCAGATATTTCTGTTTCATGATGTTCATGCTTTAAGTGCTTCCTTTGCTAGTTTTCCGTTTCAGTTGTTTAATTTGTTTAATGAACAGGGGGAAGCTATAATAAAAGTACTGAAAATCAATTCCTGAGGAATGTAAGCAAAAATTAATGAATAGTGTAAAATTTATCTTTTTTTTACTTCTCCAGAATGGTCCTTGGCTCTTTTAATCTGTTAGTCCATTTCTGTCTTGATAAGACAGTGTTTGTAATTTAATAAGTCAATCTGTTCATCACACTAAACATGTATGGTTGAGTTTACAGTGAGCTTCTAATTCTCCTGGAAAAAAATTATTAAGGAACTGTAGAATAGCATTTACAATACTGAATTTGAAGTAACCTCTTCAGAAGACTTGCAGGGTTTTTTGTCTACTTATGCCTTACTTTCTAATGCATCACACTGCTTTGTGGGTCCAGGTCTGGATACAGCATGGTTCAACTGGTATGTGTTAAGACAAATCTTATGGACTGGAATATTAGGTTATGTAAGACTGACAGAAAGAAGGTCTTAAAAGACCAGTGAGGATGTGAAAGAAGGCATATGAATCACAATAAAGTTATCTTTTTATTAGAAGACATGCTTGTCAGTTTGGAATAACTTAAATGGTTAACTGTATGGTGGATATTTCATGGCAAACTGTGCAGATAGGAATGTGTAAACAGCTACAAAGGCCAAGGCAATGTGGTTTAGTTTCTGGTTTTTTGTTTTAGCTCTTCATTTTTGACCTTGCAAAAAGTATCAGAATAGTCCGGTTTTGTTCAAAATATCTGAAAGTAAAAATTCCTTTAAAAATATTTTTTTTATGTACCATTATGGGATGTGCTATTACGAATATGATTTTTAAATACATGATGGGTTTGTCAGTTTGTCTGCAGGGATACATATAAAGTCAGGAATGTTAATTTTCAATTACAGTTTTTAAGGAGTGTTTTAGTGATTTTCCTTTGTATCTGTATAAGTAATTTTTGACTTCTCCTCACAGAAAACAGGGAAGTGATTAAGACAAGTGGACGACTTAATGATGGTGTACCCCAGGTTCCAGTGAAAAGAGGAGAATCAGAGTTTGATTCCTTCAGGCAATATCTACCAGTTTTTGAAAAACAGGAAGAAATTGTCAAGATAATAAAGGACAATAAAGTTGTTTTGATTGTAGGAGAAACGGGATCAGGAAAAACTACTCAAGTATGTTTCTTTAATGAAATAAAAAAAGATAACAGTATTTATTCAAACATAATAATAGATTTTTAATATTTCTGTATTAAGGGATTTCTTTAGTTTTAAGGCTTTTGTTTTCCTATAAGGTTGAAAGTCTTCTTTTCAGTTAACTTTCCTACTTTTTAAATACTAAGCCAACATACTAAAAGCATAAATGGTTTTGCACAATTTTCTCATAGGTCTGAGTTTTTTATTAAAATAATCACACAATATCAAAGGGGAGGTAGCTGTTATTTTGTACAACTTTTTTCCTTTCAAAACTAGTTCTGTTCTAAGTGTCTAGAGGGGAATATTATTACATTAAAATGCAACATTACCTACATAGCTTTTTTTATATATTTCTGTGAGACAGAAGAGAGAAGGTTCAGGGTATTTTTGTTTGTTTGAGTTTTGTTTGTTTGCTTGTGGGTTTTTTTGATTTTTTTTTTTTAACAGATTAGAATTAACAACAGAATTTGTTTTTTTGGCCTTTCTACCACTTCGAGTACTTTTGCAGAGCTAATCCTTTTGTGAGGCCTTTTGCAACCTGTGTAATACTGAGATGCAGTTAAGTTGTCTCACCATGGTAAAAAAGCTATGACTTTATCAAACTAAAAACTAAATTTAAACCACTTCTTTACAGATCCCTCAGTTTATTCTTGACGACTGTTACAAAACTGGAACTCCCTGTCGTATATTTTGCACTCAACCAAGACGTTTGGCAGCACTTGCTGTGGCTGAAAGAGTGGCAGCAGAAAGAAGAGAAAAGATTGGCCAGACTATTGGTTATCAAATACGATTAGAAAGCAGGTACTGATGATATTTTTTAAAATCAGTTGATCTCGTGTTGGTGTCTTTAATCTTGTGTAGATTTAAACTATGGTATATGTGGGCTACAGCCTAGTAAAATCCCCGTGTATAAAGTATAGGTAGGATATATTATTTTGGGTAATGAATATTTAAGAGTGAAAAGGACAGTTTTCTTCTGATATTTTACATCTTCATGTAGTAATTTCTTTTATAGAATGGAACTGAAAGTGATTTCTCTTGATGTCTTCTAGGGAGAATGTATGTGAAAATCCTTGTTTTATTTTCAAATTAAGTCTACATTTGCCCCCTTTTATTTTTACTCCCTACTTTTAATGTTTGTCAGTCCAAAAGTTCAGCAAACTTTGAAGATAGGTAGGAAGAGCAGCATGCTGTAAAAAATGCTATATAGTGAGACTTGATAGGGCACATTAAAGGGAATGATGAATTTGAGCATTATTTACCAATTTATTTTGTGCTAAATTTACTCCATCTTTTTTATTTCAAACAATGAGTGATAAGAAAGTAGAGATTTTTAGATCACCTGAAGAATCTGATCCTAAAGCAGAGCAGAAATGGATGTAAATCTGAAGACTGTATATGGTTGCTAAAGTTTTTGAATTGTATAGATAGTGGGATTTTCTGGAATGGCCAGTAGGTAGGATACGAGTGAGAAGAAGCTGGCAAAAGGTATAGCTGGTTATGTTACTTATATGGATGAAGATAACACATAGCTAATGAATGCACTTGAACAGCAAAACCAAGTTAAAAAAGAATTTGAATATGCATACAAAAGCTCATTAAGAGATTAAAAGAGTTAGTAAAGACATATTCCAAATAGGGTGATGACTAATGTGTGGAAGAATTATTCTGGTTGAAGAAGAACAAAGTGTTGGTCAGATGGAAGAATTACTGGAATCAGTGCAGAAAACTCTGCTTAAGATGAATCAATAAGTTCACTGTAGAAAAAACAATGTTACCACTTGAAAAAAAGATATTGGGTGGAGGTGTTTATAGTAGCACAGAATTCTTGATTTCTAGAAGGCTAATCAAGAAGATAGGAGTAGAGATGGATAAAGTAAAGCATTTCTATCTTGCATGTATTCCTTGAATTTAATATGTAAGAAGATTTTTGACGTGAGGGGAGAATTCCAAACTTGGGAAGAAATACACATATGATAACTAGTGAGCTCACCTCTTCCTTCTTTTCTGGAAGTTTTCGGTACTTAAGGGGGCAGTGCTGGAAAAAGTAGTGACAATTGCAGTTTTCACTTGCACAGCTAACTCTGCAAGAGGTACCAGGTACTTTTAAGGTTTTTAAATTTCTGAAAAATGAAAGCATCTGAAAAGATTTAGCTGACTTCTTTGTGACTCAGTCAATTAGAGTGTGTTGGATTTGTGTGGCAAGGTTTGGGTGGTGAGTTGGCTCCAGGGGTGGTTTCTGTGAGAAGCTTCCCACATGTCTGATAGAGCCGGCTGGCTCCAAGAGCGACCTACCACTGGCTAAGGCTGAGCCCGTTGATAATAGTTGTTGTGCCTCTGGGGTAACATATTTAAGAAGGGGGAAAAAAATCTGCACAGCAGTGAGAGCAGTGCAAAGAGAGAATTGTGATTATTGTGAGACAAACAACTCTGCAGATGCCAAGGCCAGTGCAGAAGGAGGGGGAGGAGGTGCTTCAGGCACCAGAGGAGAAATTCCCCTGCAGCCTGTGAGGGGACCCCATGCCAGAGGAGGTGTTTGCCTTTGGGCAAACATGTGGGAAGGCTGTGTTGGAACAGGCTCTGGATAGAACCTGTGGGGCCATGGGGAGGGCAGTCTGCACTGGGGCATGTTTGCTGGCTGGACTTTCGAAACCATGGGGGTCCCATGCAGGAAAAGTCTGTTCCTGAAGGACTGCACCGCATGGGAGGGACACTGTGCTGGAGTAGTTTGTGAAGAGTCCTTCCAGTGAGGAGGAGGGAACAGCAGAGACAGCATGTGATAAACTGACCACAGCCCCCAGTCCTTATCCCCCTGCGCTGCTGAGGAGTAGGAGGTAGAGAAAAATGGAAGTTAAACCTAGGAAAAAAGGAGGAGTGGGGAAAGGTGTTGTAAGACTTGGTTCTGTTTCTTGGTTTCCCACGTGGATTTAATTGGTAGTAAACTAAATTAAGTTCTACAAGTCAAGTCTGTTTTGCTTGTGATGGTAAATGTGAGTGATCTCTCCCTGTCCTTATCTTGACCCATGAACCTTTTGTTGTATTCTCTCTCCTGTCCAGCTGAGGAGGAGAGTGATAGAGCGGCCTGGGTGGGCACCTGGAATCCAACCAAGGTTAACCCACCACATGTAGGCAAATATCAAGACTATATCCAAGCATATGCTGAAGAATTAGAACCTGTTTTTCCACAGCAGTCCATAGTAAATTAAACAGCATGGAGAGGTTCTCAAGGTTCTATTTCACTTGCTTATTAATTTAGAAAAAGATTGAATCTCACCTGTCAGTTAATCCCTTGTCTGAAGTTTTGGAGCATGAGCATTAAGAGTCCTTAGGAACTCTATGGGAACAGGCGTAGTTTATAAACAAGGAGTATGCATGAACTCTTTGGTTAGAGAACTGTTATTCCACTTCTGGTAGGCAGCTGTTCAATCCTTTAATTTTCAGTAAATGAAAGCTAGTAGTATTTAAATGATGCAAAAAACTGAAGTATCTTTATGAACTGTTCAATAGGGTCTCTCCAAAGACACTGGTAACATTTTGCACTAATGGCATCCTGCTTCGCACGCTCATGGCAGGAGACAGCACCCTATCTAACGTGACACATGTTATTGTGGTAAGGATTTTATTGTATTTCATGTGAGGTGGAGCAATATGTATTACTTGTTAATTGGAAGGTGAGATCCTAGTTTTTTACATTAATTTACTGAATATTTAAGTTGTTTTTGTTTGGTTAGAATCTCAATTAACTTTAAAGAGTTACTGAGCCCTTACTGTAGCATGCATGCTTTTCCATTTTTTTTTTTCCTCCCTGTAAAAGCATCTCATTTTAGGTTCATGCCAGTAATTAATTTTGGAATTGTGGTGCAGTTGTGGAGGGCAGAGGTCTAAGTTTTTCTGAACTTCCTCTGTCAGCAGAAAAGCCTTAGAGAGACTTATGTAGATACAGTTCAATGTGAGTGTCAGAATTTCTGTTCTTTGTCCTTGTTTTAGCAGTACCAAATTTGCAGTCCATTTGTTAGCCTAATGTTTTCAAGATAATATGTAGTCTAATTTTGTAGCAAATTATTTAAGTGTGTTCATACATGATTATGTGAATTTTGTATTGTGGAATTTGATAAGTCAGTGGAACCAGAGCTCTAGTGATAAAAACAGAAAAAAATGTCAATTTAACAAAGAGGAAAAAGTCTGAGACTGATGTATACATTCTTGACTTTAGCCTGTAAATCTTTTGTTTGGTTCTTGTTTTGTTCATTCACGACTTAAAACAGAAGATAGACAAAAATGATTCATCAGTCATGTGCCTTAATGATAAGATTTGTGCATGATTTAATGCATCTAAGCAATCTACCTTTTATCTGATTTTTTGGTACTGTACAGTTCTTGAAATGCTCATCAATTTTGAAGGGAGATTTTATTAAAATAAAATCTGTAGGATTTGTGGTTTGCAGCATTATCTTGGGAGTGAGATTTAAGTACAAGAATTAGAGAAGTTTGAGACATTCACTTTGATTTCTGAAATTAAGGTCTGTGTGGTTTTTGCATTACAGTGCAGTCTACTCTGGTATCTTTATAAAACCTTTTCAAGTGTTTTTTTTTTTTACTTTTGGATAGTTTTTTAAAAAAACCTTACGTACGGATCCTTACTAGACTTTCACATTTTAATGTAATATACCACCAAATTACATATTTTTAGTTTTTTAAAAAGTTCATATTTGTGAAAAGTTGTGATCTTGTATCTGTGATGTTTATCTGTTATTTTTGTTTTTCTTTCTTTCTCTTTTGTTATAGGATGAAGTACATGAGAGGGATAGGTTCAGTGACTTCTTGTTAATAAAACTGAGAGATGTGTTGCAAACCCAGACTAATTTAAAACTCATTATTTCTAGTGCTGCTCTAGATGCCAATCTCTTTATTAGGTATTTTGGATGTTGCCCAGTAATATACAGTAAGTATTTATGTGAACACTTGCCGTGGTTTTGCTCTGGGTCAATTTGTTTTCACACCCCTTACACAATTACTATTAGTTGAGAGAAGGTTTATGCAGACAAAAGAGATTTGATTTGGGGAAAAATGTATTAATATTTATTACTAATAAGCTAAAACTAAAGAACTATATTTATAATAATTCTACTTAAGTAAAAGTACTAAGTATTTATAGAAATACTCCCCCCCCTCCCTTTTGTATTAATCCAAGGAGGAGAAGTAGTCCTTTTCTCCATTCTTGGAGTTACAGCTCTTTGTCTCTCCAATAACTCTGCAGTACTCTTGTCGCAGCTGGAACTTCTTTATGTTGGCCTCCAGGGCTGGGCCTACCCACCTCCTGGGCTAAGACTGGAGGCTAGGGGATTACCCAGGTTCTGAAGGTTTTTCTTCCATAGGCTTGCAAGAGGACACTTGCTTACTATGGATCTTCTTCCACAGGGTTACAGGGGATAATGGCTTATAAGTCCACCCCTGTTCCCTATGGAGGTCCCTTCCCATGGGAGAACAGTCCTTGATAGACCTCTCGGCATGGGTCTAGTATGGATCCTTTACTCGGATTCCAACATCCCACCTGAGCCATCTCACTCCAGCGTGGGTTTTCCTCAGGGTCACAAAATCTTCAGCAGAACTCAGCCTCACCTCAGGTCTCTCATGAAGTCTCTGCTTCCTCATGCATCAGCTTATTCCAGTGTAGACTTCTTGACAAGCAACATGGGGGTCTCCTCAGCCCACAGACTTTCACAGATGGCAGGGATTTATTTTTCAGTCTTTACCCTGCCTGAAGGGAGAGAGCGAAAGGAGGGGAAGAGGCAAGCCCCCCCGCTTTGCACTTCTCTCTCCTGTTGCAGCTTCAGCTGCCAGCTTTGACCTTGGACGCTCCGTTATCTCTTTGCTGGAATTTCTTCTGCCACGGTTTCTGTCCAAGCAGTTAGTCTTTTAAACTTTTTTTTTCTTCACTCTCTTACAAGAGAGAAGGGAGGCTTCAGTGCCTCATCTGCCCCCCCAAGCCCAAGCTGAGGGAGGAGGGGGCCTTGGCCCACTCGGGGCCACTGCCACCTCTTCTACATGGCTGCCTAATTTCAACTGCGACACAAACCTTCTCTTCACTTTTTCTTAAAGATGTAATTAGCAAAGGCATTACTGAGAGTTTTAATTGGCTTCTTGTTCCGAACTTCACCTGGACAAAACCATTCTCAGCCCTAGGGGCTGGCTGACTGGGCAAAACCAGGACAACACTTATTCTCAGATCAGTGAGAATTCCTGCCATGAGACTTACAGATCTTATAGAACTGTACCAAACATTCTGACAAAACCAGGTGATAAATACACCCAGAATTACAGCAATGCTTTTTCTTTGTTTGCTCATGTTTGTTGTTTCTTAACTATTTGCACTACTACAGAGGAAAGTGTTTTTATCAGCGGAGGTTCTGTAAGTGCAGGAATGTCCTGGCCCCCTCCATGTTCAGTTAAAGAGGGAGGAAAAGGTTCTCAAAGTGCTGGTCTCTGTGGCAATATAGACCATAGGATCTACAAGAGTATTGTCCATGTGTCTGTTAATACATTCCAGTAGGTTCTGGTTCTTCAGGCCTCAACAGAGATTGCTACTGGTTACTGGACAAAAGACAGATAACTCTCTGCTCTATTCAGAAATACAGTCATAGGCAAATGGGTGTTTTATGTTTTAATCACATGATTCCTTGCTTTATTTAGAGTCTTCTCTAAAAATTATGGGATAATTTTACTGGATATTCCTGAGAAAGAGTTAATTTTCTTATTTACTTAAAGGTTTATTTCTAAATTTTACAGCTTCTAAAAATATGTGAGCTGTAACTTGGTCTTTCTGAAAGAGAGAAAACTCCAAGGTGATACAAACTCAGCTGTGGCAGATGTCTGCTAAGGGACTAGAAATTTAAAATGCAGCTATATTAATTTTTCCTGTGTAAAACCGCAATTGTATGTCCATAAATAAGGTCTAGAAAACAGTCATGTTAAAAGAGAAATCAGAATAAATTCTTAGGAGATAAAGACCATTGGAATGTCTATTTGTTGGAAAGTATTAGGTAAAGAACCTCAAATTTGGCTGTACTAATTAAGGACATTGAGAGGAGTCTGTCTCCTCATATACTTCCCATGAAAGAAGGTTGTTGAATACAAAGGTGCCAGTCTGCTTGTGGGACCTTGCAATAAAGCTGTATTAATTGCTTCTATATTATGGAATTCAAGTGGCTAACACAGTGAATTCTTTTTGGTACCCCTAAACAAAAATGTCTGTTTTCTTTTTCTCATTTGATAAAATTGCAGTAAGTAACTGTCAATCTTATATCTCTTGCTGTAACACTTAAAAGAATTGAAGAAGTTAATGAGAAATAAGGTATGCAGCTGGCACTTCCCTTCTAAATTGTTTTGTGGTGGGTTTATTTTTGGCCCAGTCATTTAATGAAAATACATTCAAGTGAAGAGACTCTTACAAGACTTTTCAAGGAAAGAAATAATTCCTTAAATCAGGCCCTGATCATATTTAATTCACTTCTTATGTCTATTAAAATGATTTTTAAGAATTAATGTGATAATTGAAGCTAGGCAATATCTAATCTTTCATGAATTTTTTATACTTTCAGTCCAAGGAAGACCTTTTGAAGTGAAAGAGATGTTTTTGGAGGACATTTTACGAAGTACTGGGTATACAAATAAAGAGATGATAAAGTACAAAAAAGAGAAGCAGCGAGGTTGGTGGACTTCTTATTGTAAATGGCTGTCAATGAGTCTCATTGATTGATTGAACAACAAACAGGATGAATCTCTGTTAAATTTCCAAAGTCAGAATATTAAATGAGACATGATTAGATGACAGCAAGTGTTTTGAAACTCTCTGTGTTTACAATGTTGATGTAGTTTGTGATTTAAGAAAATACTTTCTCTTTTAAAAAATGCTTTCAGTGGTTGCATTCCTATTGCTTTCAGTTGATAAATGTTAATTTTTTTTCTAGTTATTTTGGAGTAGAATTACCTATAACTGTGGCCTTTGCCCACTTGAAAACTGTAGAACCATAGGATACTATATGCTCAGCAAGCTGGAATACCAGAAGCTTAGGGCATAAGCACCCAGGTGGTATTTTTTATCTTTTTATTATAGCAGATGTTTGCAATGGTGCACTTTAAGGTGCCCTTAATCATGGAATTTATATTGGACTGGTAACAGTATTCTAGATTAAATAAGATATCAAATTGGTTAAACTTTGTGATTTGTTATAGCTATTTTTTGTAACTGAAAATAACACATTATTAAGATGGCTGTAAAACTTTCTGTGGAAATACTTTATGCATTCTAGAAGAGAAGCAGCAAAGCTCTCTTACTGAATGGTGTTCTGCTCAAGAAAATAATAGCAAACTGGAACCTCAGAGACCAAAATCTGTCCCGAGGGCAGCTGAAGAGTATAATCTGTTGGGTGATGGTGGTGACACAGTATTTAATCAACTGGTAAGCTTTTCCTTTTGTTGGAAGGTAGTTTAAATCTGCATAAAAAACTGTTCTCTAAAGAGATTACTCCTGAAGTGTGCTGTTCAATTACAGTGGTTGTTCATAACTTTTCTACAGATTAAATGACTGAACTACCATTGCTTAAAATACTTGCATATGGTACAATAAATGCTTTAACTGGTACTGAATGCTGAGTTTCTGATTGTTATTTGGAAAACTAACTGTTCAATTTCTTTGTGTGCAATATATGAGAATAAATATAACTCTTGGAAGACATTAATGTTTAAACACTGTAATTTCTCTTCAGACTGAAAAAGATGTGAATTGCCTTGAACCGTGGCTAATAAAAGAAATGGATTCTTGTCTTTCTGACATCTGGTTGCATAAAGATATTGATTCCTTTGCTCAGGTGTTCCACCTCATTTTAACGGAAAATCTTAGTGGTAAGTTTCTCATCTTATTACGTAAGGAAATACCAATAACAAAACTACTTGAATTTCTGTAGCTATTCTGTCCTTAGTTTCAGATGTTGTTAGTTTTGAATTCTGATGCCTATTAAAAAAGTGAATAGAACTAGCAGAATTAATGGATTGTTTCCTTACTTGTTGTTGTACTTGTTTTGAAATATTAACCGATGTTACAACGTGTATCTAAAGTAGTGCTAAATTTGCATGAACTGAGTGGTGAGATGAAATGAGGAAACAGATTCTCTCTGGCCTGGTTTTTAGAAGTCTTATAGGTCATGCTACATTTAGATGAAAAAATAAGAATGTGTTTATTGTGTTTGTTGATTTATTTATAAATTTGTTTTGTACTTCTCAGTTGATTATAGACATAGTGAAACCAGTGCGACTCCATTAATGATTGCTGCAGGGAGAGGCTTTTTGAATCAAGTAGAACAGCTGATCAGTATGGGAGCAAGTATCCACTGCAGATCATCTAATGGCTGGTAAAAACAAACAGATCGACCAAAATACAGATTTTTTTTGTCAATATACAAATAAATTTATATATTTATCATTATATACAAATATATATGGAGACATTTCTGTAACATTTAAACTAATTGCTAACCCACCTGACTACTGTAAGCAGTAATAGGTTATGACAGTCTAAACAATTTCTAACTTCTATTCATCACGTATTCTGTAAATTCTAAACTAAATTTTTAGTTACACAGTCTTCATTTTAGGCTATGTATCTGTCTTTTGAAGTGAGAATTAAGATTTCTATGTAAATCTTTCAGGATGGCTGTGGACTGGGCTAAGCACTTCGGACAGACAGAGGTTGTTGACCTCTTGGAATCCTACAGGTAAATTATAACTGCTTGCAGAAAAATTTGTATAATGTGGTAAAGGAAATTTGTATTTTGTCTTCTTTTAATCAGAAGAGCTTTTAGCTTTTTATGCCTTAAATCTGACCTAAATAGCAAGATTTATTTGGGAATAGGAATGTTTCAAAAACTTACGGTTTTTTTTTAAAAAAGCGTCATAGTGATTATGTTTGCACAGCTCCTAGGATAAATATAGTTACAGTGATGGAGGACTTCTTTTATATTATTAGCTTTTAGCATTTTGATGTGGGCATTCCTATCATGATTATATATCTAGGCAGGATGTGATTGTAGTAACTTAAATAAATAGCCAGAGATGCTGATTCTACCATGTACCATTTTAATTTCAGATACTTATTTTGAAAACAAATCTGTTGTGTATTTTTTTCTGTACATTGTTGGTACAAATAGCCATATTAAAGATTCTTTATAGGAATAATGCGTACACTAGGCCATGCAAGAACTGGTTTTTGATTAACTTAGTTATCATAGCTTTTGTACCATTTTATAGAGACCTATATTATTATTAGAGCTCCGGTTAGCATAGTACCTGCTTATGGGAAGAAAATGTTTGGAAAATATGCTTCTTTTAAGTATTTTTAACAGATGAAGAAGTGATGTCTTTCTACCTTGAGCTCTGACACCTTTGCTTATGGTTTTGTTTCAATGAACTATAAGAATGAGCTAATAGATGCTAAAAAATGAAATTGCATGCTTGCTGGGTTAACACTTATGTCAGTGAATAGTAATATTGTTTTGGACGTGCTGTTCTGCAACACTTCAAAATTTAACTTCAAAAGAAGTAGTCTTGCTGATCTTGATGTAATTTTGATTTTGTGGTTGAATGCAAACCTAAAGTGAACAGTCTTGACTCTGATCTATGTATTTATCAATTTTAGTGCTTCAGCAGGATTTGGAAATTTGGATGAAAGTTCCCTGGTCCGAACAAGTGGTAATGACCTTAGTGCAGAGGACAGAGAGTTACTGACAGCTTATCATCACAGTTCTGATGATGAAAAAGTGGATCTGGACCTGATTATGCACTTACTTTATAACATCTGTCAAAGTTCTGAGGCTGGTGGGTATTACACTCCCAGTAAGTTACTGTGGATTCAGCTTTTTATAAATCCTGCCTTTTTTTTTTCGGAAGTACCAAATAGGTAAAACCTTCCAAGTGCTAGTACTGGCATATATTGAAAGTGAACTTTCTTTTTCACTCTGGAAACCCACTTCTTTTTTAGGCGCAATTTTAATATTTCTTCCTGGATACGATGAGATAGTGAGCCTGAGGGACCGTATTCTTTATGATGACAGGAGATTTGCTGATAATGCGCACAGGTAAAGCCTCTAGTTTCTGTGGTTGAGGTTTATATTTCTTGTTTTAAAGATGTTTAAAATGTGCTCTTTGTCTTGCATTAGGTACCAGGTTTTCATGCTTCATTCAAATATGCAGACCTTGGATCAGAAGAAAGTGCTTAAAAGTCCACCTTCTGGTGTCCGCAAAATAGTAAGTGTCTGTCGTGATCTGATCCAGCCCCTGCCTCTCCTGGCAGTTTTTACGTGTGTTCTCCACCAAAAAATGTCATGGGTTTGCTCTGGGCCAATTTCTGCTCACGCCCTCACACAATTGCTATAAGCTGAGAGAAGGTTTATGCAGACAAAAGAGATCTGATAGGGGAAAATAATATTAGGATTTATTACTAGCAAGATAAAAACTAAAGAACTATATTTACAAGAATTCTAATTAGGCAAAAATGCTATGTATTTACAAAAATACCCCTCCCCCCTTTGTATCAGTTCAGGAGGAGAAGCAGTCTTTGTTCCATTTCTGGAGTTCCAGGTCTTTTAAATAATTTTACAGCAGTCGAAAGTTCTTCTTCTGTTATCTCTAGGATAACAACTCCGATTCGTCACAGCTGGAGCTGTTTCTCTTTCTCTCTCTCTTCTGTGTTGGCCTCAGGGCTGGGCCTACCCCCTCCTGGGCTAAGACCAGAGGCTGGGGGTTACCCAGGCCCTGTAGGGTCTTCCATGGACTGCAAGGGGACACTTGCCTACCATGGATCTTCACCACAGGATCACAAGGGATAATGACTTTTGAGTCCACCCCTGTTTCCTATGGGGTCCCTTCCCATGGGAGAACAGTCCTTGATAGATCTCTTCGATGTGGGTCCATCCCTCGGGCAATAGTTCCTCCATTCTCTGCTGTCCCTCAGGGTCACAAATTCAGCTGCACCAGCACAGATTCCTCGCTGAAATCACAAAATCCTATCCGGACCGTCTCACTCCAGCGTAGGTCTCTGTTGGATTCTAGGCCTTCCCATGGAGTCACATCATCTTTATGCACTCTGTTTCAGTGTGGGCTCCTTCATGAGTTGCAGAGGGTCGTCTCCACTCCCCAGCAGTTTTCCACAGGTGGCAGGGATTTTAGTTTTCAGTCCCCGATGAAGGGAGAGAGAGGGGGAGAGATGGAGTTCCCCCCACTTTGCAGCTTTTTCTTCTCTCCGGCTGCCAACTTTGAGCTTGAAGGCTTTGTTATCTCTGCCTGGAGTTCCTTCTGCAGTATTTCTCGTCTAAGTTTTCCTCTAAAGTTTTTTTTTTCCCTACTCTGTTAAGGGACAGAAGGGGGGCCTGGCCCGAGCGAGACTTGGCCCAGGGTGGGGGATGCATGCCCAGGCCCAACAGGGCTGGCTGCTATGCTGACTCTTCCATTTTCCTTCTAAGCAACAACCTTCTCTTCCATTTTTTTAAATATGTAATTGCTAGAGGCATTACTAAAACTTTTGATTGGCTTTGCTCCAGAAATTCACCTGGCAAAAACAATTTTCAGCCCCAGGGCAGGGTTTGCTGGTAGGCAAACCCATGACAGTGACAGAGGACTTCATCAGATATTATGTTGATCTATTTTGTGTTTGCTTTTAACTATAATTTTGGTTGTTTCTTGTTTTAATTGCAGATTCTTTCTACAAATATTGCAGAAACCAGCATAACAGTCAATGATGTTGTATTTGTTATTGACTCAGGCAAGGTGAAAGAGGTATGACTGGCCTAAAATTTCTTTGGGAAGTAAACTTTGGAGAACTGAGTTTTTTTATAGTAAGCTGAGAGCTAGTACATGTCAAACAACAAAGGTCACTGAGAAGTTTTGGTGTCGTTTTATGACAAATACTGTAAATAGGTAGCTGTTTAAAAATGCTGTAAAAACTATTGGCAGGTTGATATAGTGGTATATCTTTTTTTTAAACAATATTTCTGTGTGATTTTTTTTTTAAAAACAAACCCATGAGTTTAGACTGATATCTTCCTGAGATTTAGAGAACACTGGAAGTTCCATTTGTCCTGCTATTATATTGAGTCTAAGTCTAATCTATTAAGCTTTTAAGCACTGTTTGATGTGTTGAATGCCTATTCCCAAATCACTTGTAAGAAAAAGTGAGATATCATAATGAGGCAGTTTAAGACCTTCTATATGGCTTTGAAAATTAAGTCAGATTTCGTAGGGGATATACACGCCAAATTTCTGAAATTTTCACAGTAATACAATTTTTCTGCAATTTTGTATCAAATATAAGAAAATAAAGATGTCGTTTCCAAGTGAGACAAAGAGACAAACTTTAGTCACTCTAATAATGTATTTTTTCTTGATTTCTGATAACTTAAAATGCAATCCATATCTTTTATTGACTTAAAATTACCTGTTGACTAGAAAACTTTCATTTAGAAAACTCTGTAGCACGGAGGTACTCTGAAGGAGGGAGGTATCATAAATTCACTTGAAACTAAGTATTCAGAACATACCTTTATGCCAGAAGCTGCTGGTGTTTTTTTAATTATTTTTTATTATTATTTTTTAAAGGACTTCTGTTGATAAATTGTTAGTAACTTTTATTTCAAGTACCCTTATTAAATCTTGGTTTCATGTTCCCTGCTTTGCTTTTGTAGAAGTCTTTTGATGCACTGAGTTGTGTTACAATGCTAAAAATGGTGTGGATTTCAAAAGCCAGTGCTATCCAGAGAAAAGGCAGGTAATAAATGCTTTATACTGACTTTTATTTTGCGTATGTCCAGCATCCTGACTGGTAAGAATAAAGTGCAAACATAATAGCAGCTACACTGGGTAATGTTTGTAGACTAGTACAGCATGATGTTGGACAATGGCCAATGCTCATGCTCTGCGTTTCCCAAGTTGTAGAAAAGTGACACTCGGGAATATCCTAGAACTTGTATTAGGTCTAAATTGTTGTTCCCTCATGAACTTATTCTCCTTCCTCTTTCTCCCACAGCACAGTATCCAATAAGGTGTTTCACAACTTGTCTGTGGGCAAAAGACTACCCACTGTTAGTTTTCAATTGATGTCCTGGGATCTCTTTGTTAGAAGGGACATTGAGCAGTAATTCTTTACTCAATGTCTCCCAACTATTCATGACTTAGCAGGCCTTGAACATGTTCTTCCCAACACTGTGGGTGAAGGCCGAGAAGTTACATATGTAGCAAAAAATACCTATATTGGATGACATGATATTGGCATTAACCTACAAGGATTTAAGTGTGAATGTGAGCATTTACTGTTTCTGTCCCTTCACTTAAAAGTTGTTTGGTCTTCATTTTACCTTGTGCTCCTGGAGTAACTTCTATTAGAGGATAGTGAAGAGGAAGAAATGAAGTTTACAACTTACATTCCTTATATCAAAGAATGTATGATATTTGGATTGGTCTTGAATTGGCAAAACATCCCCATCACTTTATTTAGATAGTCCTTACTTTTTTTTTTCCAGATTTTTCAGCGGAGGGTTAAAATTCTTATAATAAATTTCCATACTACCAAAAATAATTCATGTGCTGGAAAACTGTTAACTTCATGTGTTGGACTTCCTCTTTAGCACAGAATAATCTTTCTCTTAGACATGCTTCTACATTTGCATTCTAAGTTTGTGTGGGTTGTTTTTTTGGTTGATTGGTTGTTTTGTTTTGGTTTTTTTTTTAAATTCTAGTTTTTACACTTTCCCATATTTTATTTTCCAGGGCTGGGCGCTGTCAGCCTGGAGTCTGTTTTCGTCTCTTCAGCAGGCTCCGATTTCAGAATATGCTGGAATTTCAGACTCCAGAACTTCTAAGAATGCCACTTCAGGTGCACGTTCAGTTAAAAATTATGACTTTTAAAAAATGTGTTATCATCAAGCCATGCTATTAATTCCAAAAAAGTGTGTTTGTTTTGTTTTTCACGAACTTTAACAGTATTTTTCTGCTTTTTAACTTACAGGAGCTTTGTTTACACACAAAACTTCTGGCTCCAATTAATTGTTCAATTGTTGACTTTCTTACGAAAGCTCCTGATCCTCCACCAGCTTTAATTGTGAGAAATGCTCTCCAAATGCTCAAGGTCAGCAGAGGAATAGATTTAAATGGGAATTGTGTATGGTCTGTGTTTGTGGTGTAACGTATCTTACTATCATTTGTGGTAAAGTATCTTACTGACTTTTGTTTGTACAGAGACTTTTGCTCAGTCACTTAGGGGTGCTTTGAATTTCTGTTTGTTTGTTTTCACTTTATGGGTGTAAATGTATTTTGCCATGTGAAGGGAAGAATGTGCTTTAAAATCTGGTGTTAATGGTGTTAAACTATTAGTTATTAGTTTGACTTGCTTTTTTAGTGTTTGGGAGCAAGTCTGGGTAATGTCCAATATTCATTCCTTTCTACTTTCATTGTAAATTAATTTTGTTCACTTTCCCCTTTTCCCCTAACCCCCCCTTTTTTTTTTTTTTTTTTTAACCAGACTATAGATGCCATGGACCCTTGGGAAGATCTCACTGAACTTGGTTATCATCTCACTGAACTGCCAGTAGAGCCACACCTTGGCAAAATGGTGCTGTGTGCTGTAGCTTTGAAGTGCCTGGATCCTGTTCTCACCATTGCTTGTGCTCTTGCCTACCGAGACCCCTTTGTCCTTCCTGCACTGGCCTCCCAAAAGCGTGCAGCCATGCTCTGCAGGAAGCGTTTTACTGCAGGAACCTTTAGTGACCATATGGTGCTTCTCAGGGCTTTCCAGGTATTGCTTCATTTCAGTAGTCATGATGGGTCACACATCAAAGTAGATGACATATCAGTCAAGTTGGATACAGAATGGTAGTCTATGATTAAGTCCTCAGACAAGAAATTTTTCATTTTTGCCTAGTGGCTTTACTGTATATTGGACTCATGAATTTGTGACAGAACACTTTTTGTCTCATCTTTTGGTGATATCTGCAAACAGGATTAAAATCTGAATGTTCCAGCAAGGTTCCACTTTATATCGTGCTGCACAGATAACTTAAAATAATGGTCTTAACATAATAATCTTTATAATAGTATAATAAACTTATAATAACATATTGGTCATTAGTTTAAGGAATGGGTAAAGAGAACCTAGTATTTAAACAGAAAAAAAAAATCTGATTTGTTACATTTTCTTTCTTTCAAAGTGGTTTGTGCCTTAATTTTATTGATGTAAATGTAATTCTTTTTAAAAAATGCATTTTTTAATTTTAGATAATCAAATTAATAGGCAAATTTTAAAAAAACTATCCTTTACAGGCATGGCAGAAAGCACGCAGTGATGGCTGGGAGAGAGCCTTCTGTGAGAAGAACTTCTTGTCTCAAGCCACAATGGAAATCATTGTAGGCATGAGAACACAATTGCTTGGCCAACTTAGGGCCTCAGGTAATAGCTTTGAAAAAGTTGTAACATAGTTTTGGAGTCAAGTTTATACAAATTGTAACAAGAATAGCTTTCGCATGTGTGCTTTTCCTTCCTTAATTTGAAACAGTAAGCATCCATGCTGGGCATGGTGGAGGTGCTAGAGCGAGAAGGTGTGGCTGGGGAGCAGCTGATCTAAACTGAAAGCACCCTGATTGTTCAACACGCTTTCAGTGAGATGTTTTTCCTTGGATTTTTCCATTCTAGTAATTTGTTTCTGTAGCATGTTGTTACAAAGGAGTTCAGACCCCAGGTTCAGAGGTAGAGTCAGTTAATTTCAGCTCTGGCTGGGTGTCCCCAGAGAGGGACCCTGAACAAAGAAATCACTGGGCCTTTATACCCTCACAGCCTCTGCATACAATCTTCACGTGCCCTGCATGTGCCTCACATGCTTCTCTTGGTTCAGTTTATGGTCTGGGATCTTCTAACACCTCACTGGTTTCTTTCTCCATGTCTACATCATCAGGGCATTAACTGCTCTTATCTTCCAGCTTGGGCCAACCTTGGGGCCCTCGAGGGTCTCAACCTTTATCCAAAAGTATCTCTTCTTTCCTCCCCTTCGTATATGTTCATGTCAACAGAGTTCATTTAAAGTTCATGTACACCAGATTTTGAGCAGGGCATCATGCTAAGCTATCAGCAAGTTACAATTAAACTTAAACCTGCACAGTTAAGTTCTAATATTCTATGAGTAAACTTATTTTAAACCACAACAGGAATGTTTTAGTATTACTGTTGTAAAAAGTAATTATATTCTATGCTAATATAAAAACCCATCCTAGGAAGGATTTCAGTGTAATGGTTTCTTCTTGGTGCAGTTAAGGTTAGCAGTCATGAAAAATACAACTAATTTGTAGTTTATTTCACCTTCATTTTTCCAATTCCTTTTGAGAAGCAAAGAAATAGATTTGAAGTACAAGTGAATATAACACAATTTTTACCTCTTCTTTCTTCAGGTTTTGTTAGAGCTAGAGGAGGAGCTGATATTAGAGATGTTAATATTAACTCTGAAAACTGGGCTGTAGTTAAAGCTGCCCTAGTGGCTGGGATGTATCCCAATCTGGTACATGTAGACAGAGAAAGCCTGGTTTTGACTGGACCAAAGGAGAAGAAAGTGCGATTTCATCCTACCTCTGTGCTTAGTCAAACTCAATATAAAAAGGTAAAATCACTTAACTTTTTAGAAAATGCTTTTTTCTGGCAGCCTATAGAATGAAGAAGTGGAGTTGGTTGATTTTTCCAATATTTCAGTTAGTCCTTCCAAATGGAACACAACAAAAGTGTTTTGAAGATGTATGAATCTCTGCTCATAACAGCGGGAAAAAGTTCTCTGAAACTCTTTTTTTTTTTTTTTAAGATCCTTTTTTATAGCAAAATATTATGTTTCAAAGTGATAAGGTAATTTGGTAGTCTTGTTGAATTTCCTTGTGCTTTTTTTATTTGTGTGTGTATATAAATGTGTATTTATTTCTGCATATATAAAATAAGCATTACGTTAAAATTTATTTTGATTAAACAGAGAGGATGAAATAGCCTGGTCTTGTTTGCTCTTGCACAGATTCCCCCAGCAAATGGCCAAACTGCAGCTGTTCAGGCACTGCCTACAGACTGGCTTATATATGACGAAATGACGAGAGCTCACAGGATAGCGAACATCAGGTGCTGTTCTGTTGTGACACCTGTCACTGTGGCACTCTTCTGTGGACCAGCTAGATTACCCCGTAATGCTTTGCAGACATCTTCATCCTTTCGAGGTATACTGGTGTCTGGATTTGGAGTGTGGTATATACTAGTAGGTGGTGTGGAAGGCTTATTTTTCATGTATATTTTCTACATATATTGGCTATTTCTTAAAACGACAGAACTATGGTTCCTGTAGCTCTTCAAGAATAGTTTGTAGGCTCTGTAATAAATGCCTCTACTTTGTGAATTGTTGTGCATTCATAACTATAAATTACTCTTACACAGTTCTGTAGTCTTAGAAATTACAGTATAGTTTGTAAAGAAAAAATGCAAACAAAATGTCTAATGACAGTACTAATGCTGAGAAGTGTAGTATGTATGTCTTTTTTTAATTCAGCCTAGTTTATTTGATTCTTTGAACCAGATTATTCAAACTGAATAATTTAGCTTCAGTCAGTATGGCAAATACTCGTATTACTTCCAGCTGACATGTGCATTTTAAAGAATTTTGTCTACTGATAACTTTTAGTGACAATTAGCCATACTATTAACTAGAAGCAACAAAGAATATATCAAAATTTCCTTTCTTCATTTTTAAGTGGAGTGCTGTAGGAGTAGAAGCAAAAGTAATCTATCCTGCTGTCAGTTCTGTAGAAATATTAGTTTGAATTAAAGTAAGAGTCCAAGTTATTTTTGAGACTTTCCTGTTTTGCCCTTAAACTGTTACCTTAGAATAGCGTTCATGGTGATTGAATTGCAGTTTGAAAAACAAAAAAAAAAGGAATCCAAAATAGCCATGTGATATATAATTTTTTTTTCTTAATGTGTCTTTAAATATTCTGTTTTACTAGGAAATAAAGCACAGAGCAGTGTGTGGATTTACAAACAACATCAGGCAAAAGTTTGATAATGGCTTGTTGATATTGGTGAACATACGTGAGTGAGTCATATCACATCAATGCAGGTGCTTACAGAGTAGGGTCCTTGGCAGGTCTGGCTACTTCTGTTCAGATAACTGAAGCAAAGAGTTTCACTGAGGTGTATTTGCAAAAGTTAAGAAGTGTGTTCACAAATGTTTACATTTTAAAATAAAATGTAGGAAGAAAATTACTGCTGCTAATACAGTAGTGTTCAAGTTTTTGTATGTAAGTGTAAATAATATAGAGGTGTTAATGCATCTTTTATATTTAATTCAGGGGATGGGGTATCTAATGAGAGCAGCGACAGCGAGATGGAGGACAAAACAACTGCTGATTTATCACTACTGAAGTTAGATGAATGGCTCCATCTCAGACTGGACCCTGAAGTAAGTATTGTATCATTTCCATGTTGGTTACATGTAGAAGGATATTTATGTTAAATCATCCTAAAAAGATTTGTGAAGCATCTGAGTAAAAAAGAATTTTCTATAAGAATGGTCCATTTGAGTCTCTTAAATTTACATGACAGTGTACTATGAGTTAGCCTTTATTTCATGAGTTGGTTAAGAAATATAAGAAATAGACCAAGGGCTTAATCCCCTTTTGCCCAGACAAGTTTATTGTGTGAATTCATGTATTCAACATCCAAGTTATAAGGTTTCCTAACTTACAACTCATAACTCAATTCTGGCATCTATGAGCAAAAAAGAATAATAAGTATTAGTTACCTAGCCTGCAGTGAGAGTGCTCATCCTTCTTCCTGTGTCATGATGTGGGTGTCTCCCATATTACACCAGAAAGCAGGAAAGCCTCATCAGTCCTTGAAAAGTGCTTTGGGTAAGCAGATGTGTTATACTTTCCAGCTTGGCAGTTTGATCCATTTCTGTAAGTTAGCGGATTCTAAAGAAGGTGCCAGACAAAAGATAATAGCTACAGGGATCAGCAAGCTGCAGGAGGTAGTGGCTGCGTAATGGCCCTTCTACTCTTTCTGGCCCCCTGTATTGCCTGTTCAGTGCTCCCAGCACACATCAGACCTTAGCCTGAGCTTGGTTAGCCAAAATCTGAGCAGGATTTGGAAGAACAGTCCCAATGGCATATTGTATATTTCCTTCTCAGAGGATGACAAAAGTTAGATCAAAACGGAGCACCTGAAACTGGAATTGCTGAAAGAAAATAGTTGTGAGATTCTAGAAAAAGAATCAGAAAACCCCAGCCTTTGAAGGTAGAAGTTTTCAGGTTATTGGGAAGTTGTGCCTGTGGTAGGAGGTAGAGTAACTCAGAGCTCTTTTCTGTAAGGTATGACCGCAGAGTGCAGGAATACGGACTGAATTGACGGGAAAGGCATAAGACATGAAAAGACTGGTTTGGTTTTTTTTTAACAAGATTAATTTTTAAAGTAACAAATAAAAAATCCCATGTGTTTACAATATAATTTTAAATTATGTGCAGAGCTATGTGAAATGTTTTAAAAATTATCATGCACCTGATAAAAGAAAAGATAACAGCTTACTTTAAATGTGGGGAGTTTTGCCAGAATGCCAGCTGCTGCCTGATAGGAAAGACTAGGGTACCCTTTGCCTATTTCATCGAATTTTAATTAGTCTTTAACAGAATTGAAATTCCTTACAGGCTGCTGATTTGCTGTTGCAACTTAGACAGAAGTGGCATAGCTTATTTCTGCGTCGTATGAGAGCTCCTTCAAAGTTGTGGTCTCAAGCTGATGAAGCAACTGTAAGAACAATTGTAGCTGTTTTAACTGCCGAAGAACAGTCTGCAGGTTTGCAGCAGCCTTCGGGAATTGGTCAGAGACCAAGAACTGTGGTTTCAGAAGAATTTCCTTTAGCATCTACATGGAGGTTGGCCAACAACAGAAAAAGTTCAGCAGAAACTGAATTCTCTGACTCCTCTAATGCTGAAAAGTAAGCTGTTGAGATCTTCTAGAGACTGTAGATTGTAATTTATTTACCCCAAAAAGCATGACTTGATTTTCTGCTAGTATTAAGAAGGAAGAAACAGTGTAAATAGTGCTGAAAGCTTTGGTACTGTCTTATGCTGTGTTGTAGTTGTGATTTCGTGAAGAAGTATTTCATATGTATGCCTGCTGTTACAGAGAGCAGTCAGGAATATTGCCCATGAGTGGTGCTCTTTCAGAAGTAGCAGGAGAGGTATAACTGTAACATTCAAAAACCAATGCGTGATAGTAATGTTTTTTTAGTCAGTGTTTAATATGGTTTTGAATTACTGTAATATATACAGTCATGCAATAGGCTGATATATAGATATAAATTATTCTGTGACTGCTTGTGAAAGTTGTGGTATGTCCTGTATCTACCTTTACTTTTTAGAGTTTTAATGAAATCTACACCTCCTGCACTTCACCAGGCAAAGAAGTACAAACGAAAAAATATTTTGCACTCCAAACAAACTTCAGATGACAGGTCAGATCGATCATCAGTGAAGTCTGCAGACAGCAGTAGCTATCCTAGCCCCTGTGCTAGTCCTTGTTCTCCAGTATCTGGAAAGGTAAAGTTCCCATAAACATGTTACCGTCTTCTTCAAAATTAATAGAACTTCTTGCTGATATCTTTCAGCACTGATCAGGTATTGTATTCGTAAATTAAGAACTGAGATTTCCATTGTTAACAACTGCATAATATTTCTTTCTGGAACTTAAAATCATGTCTAAATATCCTTGTTGCACTAGTTTAATTCAGTAAAAATACTATTCTCTGCAGACTTCTGAGGTAAAGCTATATGAAGTTGAAAAAAAAATCAGATTTTTTTTTTTTTTTTTTAGAAACTTGCTATACTAAACAGTGAAGCTGTGTACAGTACATACACTTCTGAACCCTTTGGTTTCTGCCTTCCTCTGTTTCTGTAATAGCATACATTGGTACTAATTCTACAAGTTTTATGGTATCTACCTTATTACAGCTACTTGGGATTGGGGTTTTTTATGATTATTTTAACAAAGCACATGTTTTTAATCAGTTATTGTCATAATGCTCTCTATATACTTGAATACTAAACTGCAGTAATATTAAACAGATCACTGAGGGGACAGCCCATTGCTCTTTTAGTCATGGACTCATTGGAGGATTTATAGTGCCTCTTAAGTCTTTCAGTTTTTAAATTCAGGCAGTGTTAAAGAGAGAAAACTTCATGTATTCTGAAGATGGAATACGAATAGTGTGCTGCAGGCTACAGTCCAGCATGGTTAATTTTGTGTGGAACTGAAGGTCTATCAGACTTCAAAGAATTGTAATTAATCACTATTTAGGCCTGTTGTTAGGCCTGTTCTCCTGTACTTGCTTCTTGCCCTTCTTGAATGAATTACTATTTTGAAAAATGCTTAAAAATCTAAAACAGATGTGAAAATCAATTCAGAGAGGAACAGCTGATGGATTTTGTGTTTCTTGAGCAATCTGGAAGAGGAGAGGAGGAGCACAGTGAAGGGATTTCTTCTTTATGTATGTAAAACTTTAGAATTAAGCCTGGTTTATTTTATTGTATCGATTAATTTTTCCAGTGTTCTACATCTCCTTCACCAAGACAAAATATGCCAGTTCGGTACTTTATAATGAAAAGTAGCAACTTGCAGAACATTGATATTTCTCAGCAGAAGGGTATATGGTCCACTACGCCAAGTAATGAGCGAAAACTGAATGGAGCCTTTTGGGAGAGCGGCACAGTTTACTTAATATTTTCTGTTCAAGGGTCTGGACACTTTCAGGTGAGTTCTTAACTAATACTAAATATTGTCTGTGATTAATGTTTTAGGAGAGTGCTATGGAGGGCTTTCATTACGACTCCTGACCTAATAAGTGTAGGATGCCAGTGTCTCTGGTTGTTGAGGAAAGAGTCCTCCATTCTTCTCTGAAATAGACCATTTTAATTAACTCAGTTTGTTCCTTAAAGGCTAATACTAAATTGCATCCAAATAGAATGAGTCAGAATAATGTTTATACCCTACATAAATGCTTTGAAATAACTATAATGAAATAAGTAAATCAAAAAATCCCCACAAAGCGATTGCTACTCTTCTCTCTGCATACTAAAATAAATATTGTAATTGAACAAGTAGTTACAACAAGTCACAGCTTTCCAAAGTCAGCAAACTCATAAGTGGCTTTATTACAAATTTTAATAAAAACTGTTTTGCCTAAACTGTGATTTCTTAAGCTGGGAAGCATAGCCATGATTCTTCCAGAGCTTTGTCTTGGCCTAATAGTGAGGTATTTGTCAACAATTCGTTGACAGATTCGTGGCCAATTTAAAATTACACTTGACCTGGTAGTGCAAAGTTGCAGGTTAACTGTGTTGTAGAGTCAGCTAAACCCAATTGTTCCAGGTAAAGAAAGTTCAATTTACCTCTTTATATATAAACTATTTATAGAAGTCAGCTGAACTTAATGAACCAACCCAGATACAGGTATCTTGGCAAGACTGCTTGAGGATTGCAATGAGATACACATACAATGATTTGGCAAATGCAATGTAATACTGAAAAGTAATTTTCAGCATGCCAGTTGATGCTGAAAGTAGGCAGTTATGTTGGTGCCCTTAGACAAGGAAGCTGGGAGGGGAAGACACACTGAAGTCAGGATGTAGGTGGTTGATACTGCCCTGCCTTCCAGTTTTGACAGTGTACTAGACCTTTATGAGAATGTAGGGTTAACTTCTCTAATAATATTCTCTTATCCCAGGTGTCTCTTTTCTTTCTACCATTATTTTTCCTCTGTTCCTTTTGTTAATTTTCATTGAAGTGTGGCTTGAACTGTCTGGGACTGTGTGTCTTACAGCAACAGTGTGTGCTGGTAACTTACATAGTGCACTGCACGTCTTGGAGTCTTAAGTCATAACTGGCATAAATTTGCCCAGATGACTGATACATTATATGTGGCCTGGGTTTATTTTTGGTTTGCCGGGGCGGGGGGGTGTATTTAAGGGCTGTCCTTAAATAACTTAGATGCAGCCTTGGATTTGTGGTTTCTTTAATTTTCTTTTTTGATACCAAAAAACCTTGGAATGATCAACTGCTCAGAGACTTTTTCGTCTGTAATCAGCAAGGTATTTGTTTATTCAGTGCTGGGAGGAAGCCAGCTTGTCCTGGACAAACTTGCTCGGCTTGCAAGCCATTTTATACACTTTAGATACACAGTTACATCATCTAACATAATAAGTAGTCTAGTCTCTGGGCAGAGTCTTTTCAGAATCTCTTTGGACGTGTGCCATCTTCTACTGTGGGGGTCTTCTCCTGGAGCCTTCATCCCTCTGGTGGTCCCCACAGACATCTTCCTCGATTTAACCTCTTCAGTTTTCTTTGTTAGGTGACCTGAATTCTTCAAGCTTGCAAGATCCTGGCTCTGGGCCTTCTATATCTTATTCAAACGTCTAGTTTCCCTAATTTATTACCTTGTGTATACTATTCCTATTCTTCCTACAATAATGACTGTGGTCCAGTGAGTAGAACAGAACATGATATTAACCAGTGCTCCTAAAATGTTCTTCTAGCAAAACAAGTAGAGCAAACAGGACAAGGTATACCAGCTGAACCATTGTTAACTCTTTTTTGTGCCTTTTTACCATCATTCTGAAATATTTGTCTGGTTGGAACCCCTTTCCACTTCATTGAAGAAGGAGCTAAAAGCAACTTTGACTTCTGTCAAAGAACAGCTGCACTCTTCTAATTCTATATGAAAGTTTATTTACAGAGAGGGAGCAAGGGAAGGAAGGAATGGATTTGCGCAAGAAGTGTCTGCAACTAACAAGGAATAGCTAATGGACTATTCTATAGTATAACATTCATCTTGATTTCTTGCACTTCATATGTTTTTACAACACCTTTTCAACCTCTGTTACAAAGCTTAAAAAAGTCTTTAATGGTAATTGTGAAAGATGAATTGAGAGACATACTTTGTGATCAAACTCTAGAAGATATATTTTAAGTGGAAAAAAAAATTATACTTCTGACTTTCTTGATGTAAACATTTTAGAAGTCCACTCATTTATTTAATTCCATCATAAATAGATACGCTCTCATTATGTCTGTTCTTTCATATTTCAATTTTTGTTCCAGGGTTTTGCTAGAATGAGTTCAGCAATAGGGTGTGAGAAAAGTCAAGAGTGGGGATCTACTGGTTTTGGAGGTGTATTTAAGGTGGAGTGGATCCGAAAAGAAAGCATTCCTTTTCAGTTTGCACACCATTTGCTCAACCCTTGGAATGACAATAAGAAAGTACAAATAAGCAGAGATGGGCAGGTAATGTTATTCTCTTCTGAAGTCTTTACTTGGTAGAATTGCATATCATTTATTAACTTGTTCAGCCTTGACATTCATCTCAGCTGTCCTCATGTATTTGTTAATCTGAATCACAGTTTGTTGATGTGCATTGTGCCTTTTGCTAATGGAGAATTACTGTTGAACTAGTGGAAACGTTGGATAAAAGCAAAGGAGTTTATTACTTCATTTATGTTAAAAAAAAAGATAATTTAAAGCTGGATACATCAAAAAATGAATGTTTGAGAGTTTTTTTAATTTCAGAGGTTTGTGCCCTGTTTGGTTCAGATGTGTTCCCTGAAATAGTCTGTCACGCACAAAGTAACTGTTCATAATTAGAGCTTTGAGTGTGTCGTAAAGCCTGAAGAGAATCTTGATATTTGAGATAGAATAAAGCTTAGGACTGTTCTCCAGTTTTAGTTTAAATTATTCAACTACAAAAAGGCAGAAAAGAATTGGCACAAGAATTCCCTGGCAGTTTCTGTGTTCTCCTCAGTCCCCTCCCAAAACATCTCCTTGGTAAAACATTCTAGAGCTAAACTTCTTTTACTGTCTGCTCCCTGCTTCCCAAAAACCTCTCTAGTTGCAAGAATGAGGGAAGGAGCATACTGCAAGAACAAGGAGAGGAATGTAGCACATGCTGTAGTTGACAGTGCTTCTCTTGTAAGTGGCTCCTAAGACCTAAAGAATCTCAATGATCCTAAAACCAAGTGGTTTATATTAGTGTGTATGATTCACCACCAAGAGCCACTGTGTGACCTCTGACCTGCCTTTCCATGTTCTCCACTACCCAGTTGATCAAATTACACTAAAAAGATGTGGAGAATGGTAATCTTTAGTTAATAAGAAACTGACCTGTAGAAAGTATGAATTCTATGGTGCATCCATTCTTTTATGTGACAGTGGTGTGTTCACTGGGAATTCTCCTCATGAGAATTGACACTTTGCAGTGAAGGGGAAAAAAACCAAACAGCCTGTAGGCCAGGTTTGCTTATGGAAGTTTTTAATCTCCTGCTGAGCCTTTTCCTTTATGTAGAATTCTAGTGTATCACTCAATGGCAAAAAGAATGACCTTTTTCAGAAAGGTTGAAAGCATTCACAAGGAACCTCTTCTAAGAATTTTTTAATAAATAGTTCTATGTCCGTAGTAGTAGTGCTAATAACTTCTCTAATTTCCTGATCATTTTTAGGAGCTGGAACCACAAGTTGGAGAGCAGTTGCTGCAGCTTTGGGACCATATTCCTTTGGCAGGAAAAAACTCAGCTGATTAAGCATGTCGGATAATGTGATGGAGGTAGTTATTTCATGCATTGTTTTCTGGTTTTATGACAGAGGAAAAGTACAGTGTATTGTTACAGTACTGCTTTTCACTCGTAGGCTGTGGAAGAGCAGTTACACTTGGGACTGAATATTCTCTTCCTTTTGATCTCTTTTAGCTGTGGTTGTTGGAACATCAGCTCTAACCACAAGAACCAGCAGCACGTCTACAATGTAAAGATGAGGAAGAAGGTGGCGCAACAAGCTCCTGAAGCTGCTACTCATACTGCACAGTTAGCAGTGGAAAAATAAGAGGGAATTATGTTAGTTTCAGTGTTTCCTTGTTTTAACATGCCAACAACATTATTCACTTCTGGTTTTGACTGAAGTATTTTTTCTACAGTAGATAGTCCAGTAGATATTCAAAAATGAGGTAAAGTTCAAAACTGATTTTGAAACAATGCAACACCTGTAAGTTGTTCATGGGTTTAAAGTAGCACAGCAGACAGTTTAAATACACAGTTTACATTTAAAGAGTTCTCCTGTAAAATCCAGTAAAATGTTTGAAAGAAAACTGTGTAATGTTAATTAATCAATCTTGCAGTTTGCATAAAAGAAATAATTTGAGAATAAATGGCTCCAGATGGATTATAGGATTCCATAAGTGTTTGTATGGCAGTGCAAACTTCTGTATGACAGTGCAAGAGTGCAGGATATATTCATACAAACAATTATACAGCTGGAGAATATTAATTTTTAAGTTAAATTCGTGAGACTTTTGAGTGTGGGTTGGTCCAGTGGTGTTTCAAATATTTTTTTGTCTTTAAGAAGTACTCACAGTTGGACAAGCTGGAACAGTCTTTCAGAGGCCTGTTGCCAAATGGTACTCTAATTGTTCACTACTTGGGCATTGTTAGAAGATTTTTACTTCTTTTATAAAAAATAAAAAATAATTACCAGTACCACATGCATCATCTTTCAGTGTAGTTCATGCTTCCTTTTTATACCTTGTCCTTCAAGTTCTTTTCTTTCTTCTGTACTACTGTTGTTTTGCTTTATTTGGCTTCTTCTTAGTCTTTAACATACTGTACTATAAGGCTGGTATAAATTCAGTCTGCTCATTGTCAGCACTATATTTGTGTTCATTCTCAGGTTAAGAGCTTCTGAGCCTCTACTCACAGGATATTCTCACAGTTCAGACTACCCTGTATATTTGTTCTTGCGTTCTGTGACTTCCATATGTAAACTGTCGATTGCAGTAGGTTTAAGTGCCAAGACTAATGGGGTCTCTGTAAGGCTGCAATACCTAATGCAGTGTTTCTGGAGATGGTGCACGTAAGGGAGCCATGAGGCTCGTGTTGCCTTATAAAATACTTGCAGACCTGTGCCCACAAGGAAATGTGGGGCGTATTGCCTTGTGCAGGATTACAGGTCCCCATGCGCTCCAGGGACAGAGCTGGCACAGGAGAACAGGGGCAGGCGTAATGTTTGGTTATTTAGCCTGAAGAGTGCTTGATGATAAGAACAGTCCAGCCAAGGACTTTGCATTCCCCAAGGGCGTTGTCTGGCGTAGGTCTCTTTATGGAGAAGAGATTGCGCCCTGCTGTCTTGAGTGACAGCCACAGTCATGTCATTTTTGGTGTGCCCAGATGTTACATCTAGCCCAGTCTTGGAGGATTATTTGACTTGCACTTGTCCTAACCCAGGTAATTGTACTACTGATCTGTATTTTTGCCTGTACTGTTATCTGGAGATGGACTGTTTGTCCCTGAAGCTGTTGATCTGGTGTCTGTTACCATATTCTGTAACCTGGCATGGCTGCCTTAAGCCCTTACACTCTGGTGTTACAAGTGGGATGTGGTACACTGCATCATGGCCAGCCCTGACTCTGTAACAGGTGCCTCAGTTGATTACTCTGGGACTTTGCCATGCCCATGGATGTCAGATTCTGCTTTGGTTAGAGAAAGTCAGACGGATGGAAACACAAAGGAGAGTTCCCCTGCTTATATCTCATGGCTCACTGCCTTAGAGGTACTGAGCAGCATTTGAAACAACACAAGCCCAGGTTTACTACCTGCAAAAAGATCCATCCTTCACCCAGCAGAACCCTGGAGCTGCGATAGAGGAGAAGGCTTTAGCCCCTGTCTGCGTTGAAAGCCATCAGGCTAATGTGGGGAGCAGTGCAGGATCCTCCAGGTAACAGTATCTGTGAAACATTTGATCATTGTCTGGAGGCAGAATTTCTTTATATGTAGAGTCCCAGAAGACAGGGATAGTACTTGATCTGATTCAGATTCAGACAAGGCTGTGTCAAGTTCCTCCCTAATGGAGGACTTGGTAATCCAACCAATTGTTAAAACAGAGTATGATGCTTGACAAGTGCCACTACACACTCTTTCACAAGCACTGATATAGCCAAACTAAGCAGGTGCTGTCACAAATCTCTTACTGTAAACTATCTAACCTGTCTGGCAAATATGTTACACAGCAGCCAGGGGACACCATCTGAGTTCCAGACTGGGAAACCTGGAGGCTCACTCTGACGTCTGGCATCCGACTCAAGTCTCCAGCCAGAAGCGCAGATATTCTCTGCCAGGCAGCACTAGGACATGTTCAGAGACGTACCCTGAGATGATTGAGGACCCCTGGCTGTTGCCTGGGTCAATCCCACAGATTTGGATTGAGCTTTGCTAGGGTGGTTATCAGTCATGCTTTAGAAGTAGACTCTATGGCAGAGGAACATTGTCCTGCATCTTCCGTAAGTGCCTGCTAATCAAAAAGGGTCCTGGTCCACTTGGAGCACATTTCAATAGGCACTGACCTTTCAGGCACAGCAACCAACCTCACGTGGGCCCATCTCTTCCCAAGTTAGTGTCTGGGTAACAGATCTAGTGGACTTTCTTTGATGCTACTGAAGCATTTGAAAGTTCATCTATATGGACATAATTCTGCTTGCTTTTAAATGATGATTTGAAAGAAAAAGCTTCAAGAAGCTTCCCTCTGATCTCTCTCATTGGATGATTAGTGTTATGGTGACCTTGCTTTCTCAGATAGACTCCTTTATTTCCTGCACTGTTATCCATACAAATTTTGTAGGTTTCATCTAGTAGAAGTAAGGACATTTTTATGGGCAGCCATCACTTCAGTCAAGTCCTTGCAAAATGTCTGTACAGTTATTTCACTGTGCAGCAATGATTTCCTGATAGTTCTTTCTGCAGAATCCTCTACTCTGGTTTCATGTTGTGCCTGTAAGACCACAGCTTTGAATGTTTTGGAAAACCACTCCTTACAGCTGTAACGCATGTTCTGGTTCCCTAACCCTGGTATTGACATTCTCTGTATTCACTTTATATCACGTAGGTCTCCAAAGAAACAGATCTTGGTAACCATGTGTCTGGTGTTACCAGCATTATCATGCCTCTGTGGAAGAACTCCAGTGTTTCACCTCTGTATCAGGATTTTTAGAGACACCCCATCTGGCTTATCATGACTGAGTGTGATTACACACACTCAGTGAAAACTAAAGCAGGATGAAGGGCACAAAGGTGCATGTATCTGAAAAGGGTTGGACTCAATGATCTCAGAGGTCTCTTCCAACCCAGTTAATTCTATGATTCTGTGAAAAGGCAACTTTTATCTATGATGACAAATGGGAGAAATAGCCCATCACCATCTTCTCTGCAACAGTAGAAATCCCATCTTGGAGGCTGTAAGGCAAGAGTGATTGCTTAAAAGTAAATTAGGCTTTTGCAAGCTAGACCATTGCCCATAAACGCTGGAGTGAGGAGAAGGCAAACATAAGTGGAGGACAGCCACAGGTTTGCAAAGCTTTTTCATACATGAAAACTTAGCAGCACTGATTCAGGGCAACTCCTGACATGTTCCTCAATGCATTAGGTAAGATCTTTGCTAGTGGCTCATGAGAAAATGCTGGTGTGCTACCTCCTCAGGAACATATTTCTGAAAGTAGGTAAAGGTGGCAAGCTGTGTTGCCACAGACAGAATTTGGTTCCTTTCACTAGGAGCCAAAGAAAGTTTGTTAAGTATTTTTTAAGGGGATTTTTTTTGCTAAATATTTTACATTTATAAAAGTCTTACACTTCTATTGGCTATTTGTTGCAACGACTTATTCCAGTATTTATTTTTTTTACATTTTTTTGCCGCTATTTAACTGGTATAATTTTTGCTCCGTCATCCCAACAGCTATAAAGACATTTCCTCTGATCCCTGTGGGTTTAATTTCTAGTGTGAAATTTTTTGCAGTTTCTGTTTTAAATGCTTGATACTGCCTTTTGTCAAAATGAAATCACAGCTCATAACTGGCAAATTTCTCTGAGCTGATTGGAGCAGTCCATAATAACCCTGAGGTGCTTTGTCTTTAAAGTGAATTAGAGTGGTTTCTGCAGTGGCTAATTTTCCCCCCCTTTTTTTTTTTTCTCATGTGGAGCTGAAGTGATTCTCCCAGAGCAGCCACTTTCTAGATGTATTCAGTCACTGTGTGAATGATATTAGCTGTTAAAATAAATTTTTGTCACTAGGTGTCATCTCCATCAGTTAGATGTATTGACACAGATCAGTAATGATACTTAGTAGCTTGATCTTGCTGCCTCAAAAGCAAGACCCCATAAAAAGGAATCCCTGGGCAATTATTTATAATCTAAACTCCCCATCCCTCATGCGACAGTCCAGTCCAACAGCACTGTTAGGATCTGGGGTCTTTTGGTCTTTGTTGCTTCACTGTTTTGTTACCAAGTGGTTGCTCTCTGGTCCCCTTCACGTCCTCTTAGGTTGGTTTTGGTGGGAGTCAGTTCTGTAGTCCGTGGTACAATATGGTTATTGCAGTTCATAGACCATGATCTATGGGCTGTCCAGTCCAGCTATTAATTTTTCACTAATATTTGGGGAATAGCCATGTCTGTTCTAACTATTGTTAATGTTCAGATTGTTAGCTCCAGGTTTCACTGTGATCCATCTTTGACTTAAAGTTCACCTTGTGGCCTAGAAATTCTAGCTACTTCTGTCAAGTAAGCACTTAGCTACTTTCAAATAATACACAATTTTAAACATTAATAGTTTGTTTCCGGCTGCTCTGTATCTTTCTTCTCACACTTAGCTGCACTGTTGCCTTTCCTGTGGGTCATGCTGCGTTGCTTTCAGCCATCTCTCAGCTGTCTTTATTGCATCTTCTAACAGGTACCGCAGGCCAGAAAGTAGGTGATGCTGCTCTGGATTAAAAGCTTTATTTGTTGTTTTGATTCTTTTGACAGACGTTGAAAGGGTGTTGCCTAGATCCAAAGTGTAAATCTGGGTTTAAAGACAAATCAGGTCTCATGAAAGCAGACTGAGGGAATACCCACTGACAACGTCCACCCTATTCTTCACTTTTTGTATCTGCCCAGTTGTTAATAAAGACAGTCTGACTGTATCAACTAAACTCGAGGTTTTATTCTTTGGTCCTCTTCGTCATGCACACACTAGGGAAGAAGGGAAGTGGATAGCAGCATGAGAAACGGCAGAATTGCCAGTTCTGGAATGCAATGTTTACATTAAGCATATTTATTGCACCTAGTGCAGGGATTTTTCAGGCTACAGGAAGGGTAACATGCATGGAACTACCTGATATACAGTTACACACTTTTTTCAAACTTATTCACACTATTCAAACCTCTTTGTACTAACTTATAACACTCTGTTTCTACGAAATATAAATCCATGTTTTTTCTATAAGTAAAGCTAACACAAACAATCTGTTTCTCTTAGTTTTAACTTTGCTAGCAGGTGTTCACTGCATGGTGTCCTTCCGCAGAAGTTTAGCAGCTTCTTCTCTCACTCTCACTGAGATGGTCATTTGCTAGATTCCAGAGTTATCTCTGAGGCCTCTTGTTGGGCATCTGCTCCTTGCTTCCAAGGCCGAACACCTGCTAGGTCTCCAATAACCTGCAGTAGAGAATAAAAATTCAGAATCCT